TAGCGATGCCAGGAGCTCCTAGTAGCGTCCTTGCCAATAGTAGCGATGCCAGGAGCTCCTAGTAGCGTCCTTGCCAATAGTAGCGATGCCAGGAGCTCCTAGTAGCGTCCTTGTAGCTCCCAGTATAGATGCACGAAATCTGTCACTTCTTCATCAATCAGGCGAGGTCCTTCTCCCTTTATATGTACGAGATGGACCCTCTTTCGTGCGGCTTTTGGACGGAGACTTTGCGCTGATGGATCCCTTTGCATGTTTAGAACCGTTGATCCCTTGTTTTGATTTCTCAATTTGAATGATTGGCTGCCTTAGCTGTGACATGATCAGGTGATCGAATTGTCGCAGTGACTTAGCGCTCAAACCAAGAATTGTGGGTTGAATAAGGCCATGTGAGCGCTTCGCAGAGATGCAGCAAGTGCCAGCAACAGCACAGATGGAGCAAGTGTTTGTAGAGCCTTGGGGCTTTCCTCATAAGCGGCTTGGAAAACATCGGCTTCCTCCGTTTTTGAGTGCAAATGCCGTGTCAAGCATGAAGGCAACTTGGCAGCCCAGAAATGGGAACCGATATATTGTCCTGCCACAAGGGTTTACCGCACTGGATGCAAACATAGATGTCTTCGTTGCGCTTGCTGAGCGCAAACAAATTGAACGAGTAGCAAAAGAAGAATGTGCACAACCTGACTTTTCACCATTGAAGCAAATTCCCATACCTTCGCGTTTTCTGCAAAGAGTGCTTGAGATGCGTGTGAGCCAACCTGGAATAGAAATGCCTGCAACTGGACCCATGGGTCATTCATGCTTTTTGTCAAAGCTTCCTCCTGAGCTTCACCCTGCAGCGATCAGTCAAAAGCTTCCTGAGTCTTCGTCCAAACTGATCTTGGATGAAAAAGTCGCAGTCATTTGTGCAGATCCACGTTATTTGATCATGAAGGAGCTAGCAATGCTACCGACATTGTCCGCCTTTATGGGCAGGAAGCTTAAAGATGAAGAGTGCAAAAACTTTTTCAGGGCATCCCTAGAGCACAGCTTAGATGTCCAAAACATGGTAGCCTGGGGTAGGTTGGAGCAGGAGAGACCTCATCAAGTTCGGCTTTTCTTTGCAGAGGACTTTGTATTGGAGCCTGAAACAGCGTTTCGTGGGTTGGCACGCTTTCTTGGATTTGAACATGCGGAAACTCTTCCTACCCTTCTGCAGCAGTTGCCAGATATTTGTTCCAGAGGTCTTTTCAACAATTGCAATGGGCCTGAAATGAAAGTCATCGAGGGATTGACGGGAACATTTGAGCATGAGTTGGCCAAGCTGCCATTTGATATACAAGCTAGCTGGCAAGATCAGATCTCGAATTTGAAAACTCTTCCAAATCAACGTCTCGCCACTCTGGGCCACTTGGTTGCAAAGCATGGGCAGTGGGAGCTACCTCGTTGGTGGATCGCGCACAGTGCACTGCTTTGCAAGCCATGCACATTTGCAACCCGCGGTTTGTGCCGCAATGGAGACCTCTGTGGCTTTTGCCATGCGCCGGATCACCATCGTTCAAATCGGCCTAGCAAGAAGGAACGTCAGCGTCGAGACCGCAGAAGGCAGGCAATGGCCAGAACTCCATCTCCACCAGGTCTTTCAAGTTGACAACTGTTACTGTAAGTGGTAACCCTCAGCACCTTAGGATCTTCAAGTGAAACAATTGTCCATAGTTCTGTGAGTTCATATCTAAATCCTGTACAGTCCTGACCTGGCCTTGGAATCTGATGGGCGAGGTTGGCTTCAGCTTAATGATCTGAGACGCTGCAAAGCAGAGTCTCGAAGGCAGTCTTCAGGAGCCTGGCCGGCACAGATTGGTTTGCTTGCTGAAGAGAGTAAAAAGAGAGAAGCGAACATGGGAAGACGCAGACAGAAGCAAACTGGAAGAGTAATCCCGCAAGATGGTGCCATCCATCGCATTGTGCACAAATACGCGGGACTTCATGCTACCTTCATGATTCGGGACCAACGAGAGGCAGAGTCCTACAGAAAGCGCACCACTCACTCGGATTTCTCAAAACTGAACGTGTGGAAATACATCCGCATCCATGTCACCACCACTATACAGCATTGGACATTCAGTTCCAACTAGCTCCAACCATTTAATGCCAGGTAGTCGATGGTGGCAAGACTCGCGTGGTTTTGGCCACTGACGTCTTTTCGACGAAGCCATTATGGTGCTCATGATAGTTTCAGCTTCCAAATCCAGGGGTCAAGACTTGGACAAAGAGTTACATGCAAAAAACACAAGAACCTTCTTTTAAAGGGGGGGTAGGCCGCTAGAGGTAGCTAGTAGGGAGAGGTAGCTAGTAGCTTAAGAAGCTACTACCTAGGACGCAGGATAGCTCACGCTTGCCCAAGGAAGCTCCCCCCGCCTGAGGGCGGGGGAGCTTCCTTGAAGAAGCGCTCGCACTATTCATTTGGTTCCTACATTTTCAGGGACACTTAAGTTTTGCCTTAGTGTCCAGGAAGCACACATATGCAAAAACATTCTTAAGAATCTATAACTTTGGCCTTAGTGATTGTCCTCTGAGGAAACCTCTGTTCTTTCATGTGCTTTGATCCTCTGACAGGTATTCGCTGCAGCAAGGCCTGAGCCTGCGCCTCATGTGCCTCACGGGCCTTGTGAGCCTTCATGGAAAGTGAACGCTTCGATGTTTGGACACGTTTTTCAAAATCGTAGCTAGAAGCCTATAGGCGTTAGTAGTAACAAAGGGCATCGCTGGCCTTACTAGGAACAAGAAGCTACTAGGAGCAAGGGCATCGCGGCATCGCTACCAGTAACAAAGGGCATTACTACTAGTAGCATTCTTGCTGGTCTCTCCGCTTAGGTGTAGCTTCGTATCGCAGCGGGGCTCTGGCTCTCGGAGTGTTGAAACCCCAGTTGCAAAGCAAAGCGTTTTCTCTTCTGCATGCAGCTAGTTGACACGGCAATGGACACTGCACAAGTCATCACATTGGGCTTCAGCAATGTGGCGCAGTGCTGAGTGGATGTCTTCTTGTGTCCATACGAATGACAAACAATACACTGCGTCTAGGGTATTGTCCGACCAAAAGCGTGTGCGGGGATCACTGACCAGGACCGAACCTCAACAACTTGATCCAAATTCAGCAGACGACCCATGGTTTTTCGCAGCAGAGACATCAGGAAGATGCAGGAAATACACTTGCTTCAAATAGGCTCAATTAGGTTGGAGGCCATTGCTATTATTGGGTTGGAGGCCATGGCTATGCATTTTTTACATGTAATTAAACGCAAGCTCACGTTGCCCAGGTCCTTGTCCTTGAGTTTGCTGAGGCCAAAGTCCCATTTCATGCAATTTCCAAAACATTCCTTGAGCTTCCTCAA